GTTCAAAAGATTTCTTTTGGAGAATTGTGAGAATGTAAGTACACCCATGAATGCAAATGAAAAGTTACAACTTAATGATGGAAGTGGAAAAGCTTATGAAAGGCTATTTAGAAGTTTGGTGGGCGGACTGAACTACCTTACACACACTAGATCAGACATTTGTTTTTGTGTTAGTGTTGTGTCTAGGTACTTGCATTGTCCTATAATGCAGCACTTTGACGAAGCAAAGCGAATACTAAAGTATGTTGCACACACAATTTAGTGTGGCATTTGGTACAAAAGTGTCAAAAAATTTAAGCTAAGGGGCTACACTGATAGTGATTGGGCAAGATGTGTGGATGATAGGAGAAACACTTTTTGTTCTGTGTTTGATATACGATCTGAAGTCATTACCTGGAGTTCAAAGAATCAAGATACAATTGCACTCTCCTCATCAGAAGCAGAATATGTGCCTGCAGGAGCTGCAGCAAAGCAAGCTCTTTAGTTAAAGAAGTTGCTAAAGGATCTCTGTTGTGCTCAAGTGGATATTCCTGAAGTCTGGCGTGACAACAAATCCACTATTGCAATGGCAAAGAATCCAGGATTCCATGCAAGAAGTAAACATATTGATGTGCAATATCACTTCATTAGGAGGTTGGTAGCAAAGAAAAAAATTAGTTTGCAATTTTGTGGCACTAACTCTCAAAATGCATATTTGTTTACTAAAGCTCTCAATCAAGTCAAGCACCAACATTTCATGCGAACAATTGGCACATGCAAGCTTGAATCAAGGGGATGTGTTGCGAGTGATCAACTTGAACTAGTTTAGTCGTGTCATGCATATCCATGCACGTATAATTAATTAATTACTAAAGTTTATTATTTATTGAATAAATCGAAGCCTGTTACCTAGTTTTTAGGAGCTGAATTATTCATAATTGTTAGATTAAATTATCAGTTTGTTAGACAAGTATTGGAGTCATGATAGCCACGTTTCTAGGCATGATAGTTACTGAAAAACACGAGCCCCATCTCAAGTATTGTAATGGCTAGCTATTTAAGTCACTTTAATCTTTTCATTAATAGAGAGAGTTTTAGAGTTGCATTTTTATTGCATTCTTTATTCTTCCTATAATAGTAAATGCAATAATAGAACTGCAGCATTTTTACTCTCAAAATATGAGTAATATATGTTCTTTTTTCCTATTATTCTACCCTTTTGTATAATCACTAGTACATTTATTTTATTAATACAAAAATAATATAACATACCTAAAAAATAGTTTATCTATTGAATTGCCATATATACTTTCATGGAAATATTTTATTACATGCACAACCTTCCTATTTTTTGTAAAATTTTTCATTTACACATAGACCGTAGTATATACATAAGTTTCCTTACTTTTCTCTCTTTCTGTTGAAATTGCTCGGAATAGGAGTAGAAATGTTTTGAAATTCCAAAATAGGAAATTCATGTTTTTATTCTCTAAATAGAAGTAATTTTTGCCATGTTTGGAAAAAACTACTATGTTTAAAGCTTGATAATGCTAAACTTTACAGAAATTACTCGTATTTAGGAAATAAAAACATGGAAAACCTATTTTGGAATTTCAAAACATTTTTACTCCTATTTAGTGAATATCTCCCTCTTTTTATGCTCTATCATACATTTTCATCGTTATTTTCAAGTTATTTACATTTTTTTCTATATTTTCACTATTTGAATGATAATTTACAATTAGAATACTAATACCTTTTTATTAAAAATAGCCAAAACGCATTTATACCCCAAATCTTAAAATTAAACGATAAGCTATATCATATAATTTACAGGATGTAATTATATAAAATAAATAAAAATAGAAATAAATTAAAATACTACATTGAAAAAATGGAAAATTTAGATTTTTAGAATTAAGATAGCATAAAAAATAAAATACTTTTTGTGAAAAAGGGTATAAAAAAGCTCTAAATCCTAAAAGTTTTGATTAGAGTGTATTTTGGAAAATAAAAATGTATGGAGTAAATTTCAACAAAGGAAAATAATACAAAATCATAAATTGGTAACACATCAACTCGGGAAAAATGAAAAGAAAAAAAAATGTTAGTGAAAATAAATTTAAAAATGACTAAAAAATATTTTATTTAACCTCGGTACATTGTAGAATTCCGTAATTATTTTTGCATGTTTAGAAATATTTAGTTTGGAAATTTATAAAAGTATTTCTACATCTTCCGAAAATTGGGATTAATAAAAAAAGATCGACTATAGTTGGATTATTTATAGTGTACGCTTAGTTCTCATTTAAAAATGACATGTTATACCGGCCAGCTTCACACGTTATAGCTGGATAGGGACTATTTTAAGAAAATGATTCCCATTGTTGGGACCACTCAAAAATTAAATAATCATTGAGATTATCAATAGCGGACCGACAATAGTAGTTGAGATTACTATTTTCAATATTTCATAATGAGAACGTGGAAAATAATGTATGTAGAAATCATTTTTGAAGGGAGAAGTAATTGAAGTATATATGTGGGTCATCATCTGACTAAAAATATATAGATCTCAAGTACGGTACTACGTATATATGTACTGCGTAGTAATTATGGTTGTGAGATGAAACCCATAATTGTAATTTGGAAAATTTAACAATTTGTTTTGAAATACACGCACGTGAGTATATATATTAGTCATACATACATATAAATGAAAAATATATAGAGGAAAGTTTATGTCAGGACCTTTAAAAACGGAACTCCGTACGGAACTCGGCGTTTGGGCCCCTTCCCAGTGGAATTTTTTTATGAAATTTTTTGAGCATGTTCTTCATCAAGTCTAGTTTATCCATACTAAATTTCAGCTAAAAATTCCATCGGAAAGACAGTCAAATGATTTTTGAAAGTTAACTGCATTTTATATGTATATAAAATGGTTTTCAATACTCTATTTAAATGTCTTTTCGCTTGAATTTTAAGATGAAATTTGGTGAAAATAAATTAGATTTGATGAGAAAAATGTTCAAAACATGTCATTGATCGAAAATTGTGTTGGGAAGGCTGTGAAACGGACATATTGAGACGAGGCTTCAATTCCGTGAGGTGCATATAAACATATATACATATACCATTAGTTTCGGAGGTGCAAAATTGGATGGAACATGCCATGCGGCAAGAAGTCAAGAAAGAAGGAGGAGGAACCGAGAAACAATCGCCCAAGCAAACACTTGAAATAGCTAGCACCGGAAAGCTGACTGAAAGCTGCGGGTGTGTTAGAAAATAGAAGAGGTTGTTGGTATATGAATATGTTAAGTGATTTTAGTGAGGTGTAGTGTAGAGGAGGTGTTTTAGAGTAGAGCTCTTGTCTCTAGAAAAGATATATTGTATTGATGTTTCTTGGTTTGCTTGGTTTGCAAATGAGTACAATGGATCATATTTATAGGTGCTAGAGGATCATTCTAGATCCTTATTAAATGCTAGGAATCTAGATTATTCTATTTCTAATAACTCTAGACTCTACTTAAGAATTCTCTAGAACATTATGTCCATTAACTCTCTAGAACATTTCTAGCTTTAACTACATAGAATATTCTAGATAAATGCATCACTATTTAATACTCCTCCTTGATGCATTTGTCGGTGACTCCAAGCATTCTTCGCAGAAACTGGAACCTGTCTCTTGGCAATGCCTTCGTGAAAATATCTGCCAATTGTTCTTCTGTTAGGCAGTACCTCATCTCAATATGCCCCTTTGCTTGAACATCTCTCAAGAAGTGATACTTGATATCGATGTGCTTTGCGCGATTGTGCTGAACTGGATTTTTTAGCCATCGCAATAGCCGACTTGTTGTCGCAGAATATCTCAGTCGCAGAAGTTTGCAATTCTCCCATGTCTTCTAATATTCTTTTTAGCCATATAGCTTGGCACGCTGCTCCGGCTGCTGCAACATACTCGGTTTCGGCTGAAGATAGTGCAACAGAATCTTGCTTCTTTGATCCCCATGAGAAAATTCCCGAACCCAGCTTAAATGCGTAACCGGAGGTGCTTTTCATGTCATCTTGAGATCCAGCCCAATCACTGTCGCTATATCCACTTAGTCGTGAGTCAGGACTTGTTTTGTACCAAATACCATAATTGATGGTTCCTTGTAGGTACCTAAGGAGTCTCTTTGCCGCTCCATAATGAGTCTCAGTTGGACTTTCCATGAACCTCGAGAGCAAGCTTGTAGCATACATTATGTCCGGCCTCGTAGCCGTTAAGTAGAGTAGACTCCCAATCAAACTCCGGTAATTGGTAGCATCCGTTGGTTTTGACCCATCTTCTTTCTTTAATTTCTCATTAGGAACCAACGGAGTAACGACGGCTTTGCAGTCTTGCATTTTGAACTTCTTTAGCATGTCCTTAATATATTTTTCTTGAGATAAGAAGATGCCTTCTTCTTCTTGACTTATCTCTATGCCAAGGAAGTAATGCATTAATCCCAAGTCACTCATCTCAAAGGTGTTCATCATGTCTCTCTTAAATTCTTCAATTAATTTTGAATTATTTCCCATGACAATTAAGTCATCAACATATAGAGAGATGATGAGAATGTCAGATTTACCTTGGGATTTGATGTATAGTGTAGCCTCGTTCTTGCTCCTTCTGAACCCTTGACGGGTGAAGTATCCATCAATCTTGCTATACCAGGCTCGTGGAGCTTGTTTGAGCCCGTAAAGTGCTTTCTTTAGACGAAGAACTTTTCCTTCTTCTTTGATGAATCCTTCTGGTTGCTCTACATACACTTCTTCTCTTAGTTCTCCATTTAGAAAGGCTGATTTAACGTCTAGCTGATAAATTTTCCATTTCTTTTGAGCTGCAAGAGCTATGAGTGTTCTTATTGTATCCATCCGGGCAACTGGTGCAAACGTCTCTGTGTAGTCAACTCCCGGTATTTGAGCATACCCCTTTGCAACCAGCCTTGCCTTATGCTTCTTAATTGAGCCATCAGGGTTCAGTTTCGTTTTGTACACCCATTTGACTCCAATAACCTCCTTGTTATGTGGAAGATCTACCATTTCCCAAGTATCATTCTTTTCTATCATTTTTATCTCCTCCTCCATTGCTTTAATCCAAACTTTTTCTTTGGAGGCTTCAGTGTAACTATGTGGCTCCAAGGAACAAAAGTTGCATGTTTCATAGACGTCAGTAGACTCATATAAGTCTGCTAGAGTTCTTACCCGAAGGGGTGGGGATTCTGGCGAGGAGTCATGTTCGCTAGATTTATTCGCTTCGGAAGAGAATCTTGGAGTAGATGTGGGGCTCTGTTGATCGTGATCTTTTTCTTCTGGGATTTCCTCTAGTTGGGTAGTAGTTATCTTTCTTTCAACTCTTTCCGTCTCCCAATTCCAAGAGGCTTGCTCATCAAACTCCACATCTCGACTTGTCACCAGTTTCTTAGTCTCGAGATTATAGATTCGATATCCCTTGGATTTGGAGCTGTAACCGAGGAAGATTCCCTTCTCTGTCTTGTCTTCTAATTTGTGCCTTTTAACAGAGGGAACATGAATGTAGCATATGCTTCCGAAGACCTTCAAATGTTTGGCTGAAGGCTTTTGTCCTGACCATGCCTCAATAGGTGTTTTGTTTAAAACCGCCTTAGTTGGACATCGATTGAGTAGGTAGACTGAAGTATACACTGCTTCCGCCCAGAACATTTTAGGCATTCCTTTCTCAGCTAGCATGGATCTTGCCATCTCCATGACTGTGCGATTCTTCCTTTCGGATACCCCATTTTGTTGTGGAGTGTATGCTACTGTTAGTTGATGCTCCATGCCTTCATCTTCACAGAACTGATCAAATTCTTTTGAGTTATATTCGGTATCTCGATCGCTTCTCAACTTCTTGATTTGATGACCACTTTGTTTCTCCACGAGGTTCTTGAATCTCTTCAATATTCTAAAAACTTCGGATTTTTCTTGGAAGAAATACACCCATGTCATCCTTGAGTAATCATCGATGAAAGTATGAAGTACCTGTTCTTGGAAACTTAAGGTGTGCGCATTGGACCGCAGACATCGGTGTGGACAAGCTTTAGTATCTGTTTGGCTCTCCATGTCTTCTCTGTTGGAAATGGTTGCCTGTGCTGCTTCCCAATCATACATCCTTCACATACTCCTTCTTTTTCATCCAGTAGAGGCATGTCTCTCATCATATTCTTTTGATGTAGTAATCTCAAGGCATTGAGATTGAAGTGCCCAAATCTTCGATGCCACAGACTTGTATCACTCAGTTGAGCTACCATTGCCTTTTGTGGGTATTGCCATTGAATGGGAAAGTTTCTATTATTTCCCATTTTCACTTCAGCAATTTCTTGGTTATTTTTCTTGTCATAAATTCGACAAGAATTATTCTCAAAATGTAGGGCATATCCACTTTCCATCATTTGGCCAACACTTAGTAGATTTTGTGCAAGGCGTGGCACTAGGAGAACATTTCTAATATAGCGCGTACCTTTCTTTGTATCTATGACAATGGTACCTTTCCCTTTTGCCTCCACCAATTCGCCATTGCCCATCTTGACCTTTGTCTTGATAGAAGTGTCTAACTCATGGAAGATGGTTTCGTTGGATGTCATGTGATTGCTGCACCCACTATCGATGTACCACTCTTCTTCTTTTGCTTCCATTGCTAAGTGACATGCATATAACATGTATTCCTTCTCCTTAAAATCTTCAGAATAGTTGGCCTGGTAATTTCTTCTATCTCTGGAGTCTTTTTCTTCATGCCCGAACCTCTTGCAGTTTCTGCATTGTGGCTTTCCTCGATGGTAGCAATCTTTTTCTAAGTGATTAGTCTTCTTGCATATTTTGCATGGTGGAAAGTTTGTCTTCCTCTCCTTGTGGATAGAATTCCCATCTTTATGAGGTTTAAAGTTTCCACCACTTCTTGAGTCATTCCTTTTAATGTTGAGCTTAGACTGGAAGGCACTTTCTAATGAACTTTCATGTCGTCTATTCAGCTTGTGCTCACGTGCTTCTAACGACCCCATTAATTCAGTGATGGACATTTTTGATAAATCCTTTGACTCCTCAATAGCCGAAACTACTGGATCATATTTTTCAGGGAGACTGATTAAGACCTTTTGGATTATTTTCTCGTCGGTTATGTTTTCTCCAAGAGTTCTCATTTCGTTGACTATATGTATAACCCGAAAGAAATAATCTTATGCCATTTCAGAATCTCTCATCTTCAAATTTTCGAACTCTCTTCTTAAACTTTGTAATTTAATAGTTCTAACTTTCTCATTTCCTTGAAATTCCTCCTTAAGAATATCCCAAGCTTCTTTTGCCGTAGTAGCACGAATTATTCTCGGGAAAATGGTATCACTAACGGATTGTTGAAGAAGATACAGAGCTCTAGCATTTTGCTGCTTTTGTTTCTTACATACCTCGGAAGTTGATGCGTTGTCGCTTCCTTTTTCCGGAGTGATGATTCCTTCTTCAACAATATCCCAAAGATCATGTGATTCTAGGCAAGTCTTCCTACGGACACTCCAATAGTCGTAGCTTTCTCCGTTGAACATCGGAGTCGATACCGAGAAGCTTGATGTCGCCATAACGCCCGCTTGTGATCGAACAGGCTCTGATACCACTTGTTAGAAAATAGAAGAGGTTGTTGGTATATGAATATGTCAAGTGATTTTAGTGAGGTGTAGTGTAGAGGAGGTGTTTTAGAGTAGAGCTCTTGTCTCTAGAAAAGATATATTGTATTGATGTTTCTTGGTTTGCTTGGTTTGCAAATGAGTACAATGGATCATATTTATAGGTGCTAGAGGATCATTCTAGATCCTTATTAAATGCTAGGAATCTAGATTATTCTATTTCTAATAACTCTAGACTCTACTTAAGAATTCTCTAGAACATTATGTCCATTAACTCTCTAGAACATTTCTAGCTTTAACTACATAGAATATTCTAGATAAATGCATCACTATTTAATACTCCTCCTTGATGCATTTGTCGGTGACTCCAAGCATTCTTCGCAGAAACTGGAACCTGTCTCTTGGCAATGCCTTCGTGAAAATATCTGCCAATTGTTCTTCTGTTAGGCAGTACCTCATCTCAATATGCCCCTTTGCTTGAACATCTCTCAAGAAGTGATACTTGATATCGATGTGCTTTGCGCGATTGTGCTGAACTGGATTTTTTAGCCATCGCAATAGCCGACTTGTTGTCGCAGAATATCTCAGTCGCAGAAGTTTGCAATTCTCCCATGTCTTCTAATATTCTTTTTAGCCATATAGCTTGGCACGCTGCTCCGGCTGCTGCAACATACTCGGTTTCGGCTGAAGATAGTGCAACAGAATCTTGCTTCTTTGATCCCCATGAGAAAATTCCCGAACCCAGCTTAAATGCGTAACCGGAGGTGCTTTTCATGTCATCTTGAGATCCAGCCCAATCACTGTCGCTATATCCACTTAGTCGTGAGTCAGGACTTGTTTTGTACCAAATACCATAATTGATGGTTCCTTGTAGGTACCTAAGGAGTCTCTTTGCCGCTCCATAATGAGTCTCAGTTGGACTTTCCATGAACCTCGAGAGCAAGCTTGTAGCATACATTATGTCCGGCCTCGTAGCCGTTAAGTAGAGTAGACTCCCAATCAAACTCCGGTAATTGGTAGCATCCGTTGGTTTTGACCCATCTTCTTTCTTTAATTTCTCATTAGGAACCAACGGAGTAACGACGGCTTTGCAGTCTTGCATTTTGAACTTCTTTAGCATGTCCTTAATATATTTTTCTTGAGATAAGAAGATGCCTTCTTCTTCTTGACTTATCTCTATGCCAAGGAAGTAATGCATTAATCCCAAGTCACTCATCTCAAAGGTGTTCATCATGTCTCTCTTAAATTCTTCAATTAATTTTGAATTATTTCCCATGACAATTAAGTCATCAACATATAGAGAGATGATGAGAATGTCAGATTTACCTTGGGATTTGATGTATAGTGTAGCCTCGTTCTTGCTCCTTCTGAACCCTTGACGGGTGAAGTATCCATCAATCTTGCTATACCAGGCTCGTGGAGCTTGTTTGAGCCCGTAAAGTGCTTTCTTTAGACGAAGAACTTTTCCTTCTTCTTTGATGAATCCTTCTGGTTGCTCTACATACACTTCTTCTCTTAGTTCTCCATTTAGAAAGGCTGATTTAACGTCTAGCTGATAAATTTTCCATTTCTTTTGAGCTGCAAGAGCTATGAGTGTTCTTATTGTATCCATCCGGGCAACTGGTGCAAACGTCTCTGTGTAGTCAACTCCCGGTATTTGAGCATACCCCTTTGCAACCAGCCTTGCCTTATGCTTCTTAATTGAGCCATCAGGGTTCAGTTTCGTTTTGTACACCCATTTGACTCCAATAACCTCCTTGTTATGTGGAAGATCTACCATTTCCCAAGTATCATTCTTTTCTATCATTTTTATCTCCTCCTCCATTGCTTTAATCCAAACTTTTTCTTTGGAGGCTTCAGTGTAACTATGTGGCTCCAAGGAACAAAAGTTGCATGTTTCATAGACGTCAGTAGACTCATATAAGTCTGCTAGAGTTCTTACCCGAAGGGGTGGGGATTCTGGCGAGGAGTCATGTTCGCTAGATTTATTCGCTTCGGAAGAGAATCTTGGAGTAGATGTGGGGCTCTGTTGATCGTGATCTTTTTCTTCTGGGATTTCCTCTAGTTGGGTAGTAGTTATCTTTCTTTCAACTCTTTCCGTCTCCCAATTCCAAGAGGCTTGCTCATCAAACTCCACATCTCGACTTGTCACCAGTTTCTTAGTCTCGAGATTATAGATTCGATATCCCTTGGATTTGGAGCTGTAACCGAGGAAGATTCCCTTCTCTGTCTTGTCTTCTAATTTGTGCCTTTTAACAGAGGGAACATGAATGTAGCATATGCTTCCGAAGACCTTCAAATGTTTGGCTGAAGGCTTTTGTCCTGACCATGCCTCAATAGGTGTTTTGTTTAAAACCGCCTTAGTTGGACATCGATTGAGTAGGTAGACTGAAGTATACACTGCTTCCGCCCAGAACATTTTAGGCATTCCTTTCTCAGCTAGCATGGATCTTGCCATCTCCATGACTGTGCGATTCTTCCTTTTGGATACCCCATTTTGTTGTGGAGTGTATGCTACTGTTAGTTGATGCTCCATGCCTTCATCTTCACAGAACTGATCAAATTCTTTTGAGTTATATTCGGTATCTCGATCGCTTCTCAACTTCTTGATTTGATGACCACTTTGTTTCTCCACGAGGTTCTTGAATCTCTTCAATATTCTAAAAACTTCGGATTTTTCTTGGAAGAAATACACCCATGTCATCCTTGAGTAATCATCGATGAAAGTATGAAGTACCTGTTCTTGGAAACTGAAGGTGTGCGCATTGGACCGCAGACATCGGTGTGGACAAGCTTTAGTATCTGTTTGGCTCTCCATGTCTTCTCTGTTGGAAATGGTTGCCTGTGCTGCTTCCCAATCATACATCCTTCACATACTCCTTCTTTTTCATCCAGTAGAGGCATGTCTCTCATCATATTCTTTTGATGTAGTAATCTCAAGGCATTGAGATTGAAGTGCCCAAATCTTCGATGCCACAGACTTGTATCACTCAGTTGAGCTACCATTGCCTTTTGTGGGTATTGCCATTGAATGGGAAAGTTTCTATTATTTCCCATTTTCACTTCAGCAATTTCTTGGTTATTTTTCTTGTCATAAATTCGACAAGAATTATTCTCAAAATGTAGGGCATATCCACTTTCCATCATTTGGCCAACACTTAGTAGATTTTGTGCAAGGCGTGGCACTAGGAGAACATTTCTAATATAGCGCGTACATTTCTTTGTATCTATGACAATGGTACCTTTCCCTTTTGCCTCCACCAATTCGCCATTGCCCATCTTGACCTTTGTCTTGATAGAAGTGTCTAACTCATGGAAGATGGTTTCGTTGGATGTCATGTGATTGCTGCACCCACTATCGATGTACCACTCTTCTTCTTTTGCTTCCATTGCTAAGTGACATGCATATAACATGTATTCCTTCTCCTTAAAATCTTCAGAATAGTTGGCCTGGTAATTTCTTCTATCTCTGGAGTCTTTTTCTTCATGCCCGAACCTCTTGCAGTTTCTGCATTGTGGCTTTCCTCGATGGTAGCAATCTTTTTCTAAGTGATTAGTCTTCTTGCATATTTTGCATGGTGGAAAGTTTGTCTTCCTCTCCTTGTGGATAGAATTCCCATCTTTATGAGGTTTAAAGTTTCCACCACTTCTTGAGTCATTCCTTTTAATGTTGAGCTTAGACTGGAAGGCACTTTCTAATGAACTTTCATGTCGTCTATTCAGCTTGTGCTCACGTGCTTCTAACGACCCCATTAATTCAGTGATGGACATTTTTGATAAATCCTTTGACTCCTCAATAGCCGAAACTACTGGATCATATTTTTCAGGGAGACTGATTAAGACCTTTTGGATTATTTTCTCGTCGGTTATGTTTTCTCCAAGAGTTCTCATTTCGTTGACTATATGTATAACCCGAAAGAAATAATCTTATGCCATTTCAGAATCTCTCATCTTCAAATTTTCGAACTCTCTTCTTAAACTTTGTAATTTAATAGTTCTAACTTTCTCATTTCCTTGAAATTCCTCCTTAAGAATATCCCAAGCTTCTTTTGCCGTAGTAGCACGAATTATTCTCGGGAAAATGGTATCACTAACGGATTGTTGAAGAAGATACAGAGCTCTAGCATTTTGCTGCTTTTGTTTCTTACATACCTCGGAAGTTGATGCGTTGTCGCTTCCTTTTTCCGGAGTGATGATTCCTTCTTCAACAATATCCCAAAGATCATGTGATTCTAGGCAAGTCTTCCTACGGACACTCCAATAGTCGTAGCTTTCTCCGTTGAACATCGGAGTCGATACCGAGAAGCTTGATGTCGCCATAACGCCCGCTTGTGATCGAACAGGCTCTGATACCACTTGTTAGAAAATAGAAGAGGTTGTTGGTATATGAATATGTTAAGTGATTTTAGTGAGGTGTAGTGTAGAGGAGGTGTTTTAGAGTAGAGCTCTTGTCTCTAGAAAAGATATATTGTATTGATGTTTCTTGGTTTGCTTGGTTTGCAAATGAGTACAATGGATCATATTTATAGGTGCTAGAGGATCATTCTAGATCCTTATTAAATGCTAGGAATCTAGATTATTCTACTTCTAGACTCTACTTAAGAATTCTCTAGAACATTATTTCCATTAACTCTCTAGAACATTTCTAGCTTTAACTACATAGAATATTCTAGATAAATGCATCACTATTTAATAGGGTGGTGGGCGAGGAGAAAGCAGCTAGGCGGTGTACGTTATAGCATCCTCCCCAGCACATGTATGTATATGCTGCCGCCGCCGCTGTCTGCTTGTCCCTTCACCCCCGGCTGCTGCTGCAGGCCTGCCAGCCACATCATCATCACCCAAATCCTTATAATCTCGCACCTCATCTTCTTCGTATACATAACATATATACGTATAGATAGCTAGCTAGAAGTACTTATTATTTTGAGCGATCGATGTGAGGATCGAATTCGATTGATTACTCGTAGTACATATATAGCAATTCAAATGAAACAATAAAACATTTAATGGCACTTAATTATTGCGCGCACAGATTAAAGCTAAGTAGGTGGGCGAATGCATAATTATTAATTAAGGTGCATGCATGCATGCATGGCCGGCCGGGCTGGTCTAGAGATCGTATGTATGTATAGCAGTAACCCATTCAACCATCCATCCAATGCTAGGCTAGCTTCATTCTCTTATATTTTGGATGTGTTTAATTTTGTTGGAACTAATCTTGTTATTAGTACGTGCTAGATTTTTAGATTAATTATTTGCATGGGTTGATAATTAATTATGCATATGTTGTAGCGGCACTGATGTGTGTGTCGTTGCATTAGTGTTAGTCTAATTTGGGTCAATTAGTTAAGATGCACATTATCTTATTTTCATTTAGTATTACATTATGTTACTAGTTACACATGCTGTAACACCCCGACCCCGCAGGATGCGAGGTAGTTACTCCAGACCTCCAGTACTGTCCTCACAAACCACCACAAGCCTTTACCGCGCACTTTGTCCTCACTCATGCACGCCCTGAGAAACTTCCCAGGGGGTTACCCATCCCAAGACTACTCCCGTGCGAGCACGCTTAACTTTGGAGTTCTTGGGTGATGAGTTCCCTTAAAAGGAGATGCACCTCTGTTGGTATGAGTAGTACTATTAATCCGTTTAAATTAAATCTCAAGTGTTACATTCACCCCCACTTAGGATCGCAACGTCCTCGTTGCGCCCTTAAACCAATCTCAAATCTCAATCAAATCCCAGAATCTTCCCCCGCTAAGTGCCCGCCTGATATCCAACGGGTCATCACACTGTCGCGGGGTTGCTCTGATACCAATTTGTAACACCCCCAAATTTCCCACCCAAAACTTTGATAATTTAAAGGAAATTCTTTATTCATTCATCATAATGTTGAAGAAATACAGCGGAAGTTTGAAAAGGAAAATGGGTGTTACCGCCACATCCGGTCATCTCTCAACCGGATGCACAGGCAACTAAAACAAAACAATAAAACTAAATAAATAAATGTTTATTTCAAGACTAAATTTGACTAAGGAAACTTCTAACTCGCTCTCAGGCGCATGCATTCAGCAATCAACATAACCATCATCACCTGCACAAATATCGTGCAGAAACAAAACAAAGAAAGAAAACAAAAATTAGCTTTAGAGCTAAGTAAGTACTACCCAACCCCGTAAAATAATCAGGTTTGGCAAAAATAAGTTTTTATATAATACTATATAAAAATAACACACTCCATAAAAATTCTCTTCTTCTTTGATCATCTCAAAAATCACTTCTTCTCTAACTTTCTAGTAATTTAGAAGGGCGGTGCTCAACCTTTCGACTGAGTCCGGTGGACCGTGGTTACGGACGGCCACCCCGAACAAGTGCCGGTACCACAACTGCTCTTGCGGAAACGAAATGACTACCTTAAGTGTGCACACCCCCTAAAAGGGATTCCAAGCCCTCCGAGTAGTAAGTCGTCACGAGTAATCAGGACTCAGTCTACCAACTACCCCACCTTTAAAATTCTTGAATGATTAGGGACTACTACTATTATAACTTCTTCTTAAAAGGGATCATAGACCCAAATGTCACTTAAAACTCAAATTGTACTTCTTAATAGTAGCAGCCCTAATCACCCTCCACATTTATCCGGATGTGGAAAACCGACACCACGGATTTCTCCCGGGTGCTCACTTCTTATGAAAACGTAAATTTTATCTTGACTTTAGATATACTTCCAAAATATATTTCTCAATCTCTCTAAATAGTCTCAAAGATATTTAAAAATACTTAATACCCAAAAGTACTTCATTTGCACTTCTCAAATACCATAGATCTAATATCTCCTCAAAATCACATACACATAATTCAAAATTCACACTTAATCACATAATGCATAATAAGCATATAATACGAGAAAACAATTTTGGATCGGCAGAGAAACTTACCGTAGGTCCTGACGCCCCTAGTTCTCCTCTTCTAT